GGCGGCGGCGGCCGGGGAGGTGGTTGGGGCGGCGGCGGTCGCGGTGGATGGGGCGGCGGGGGATGGGGCGGAGGCCAAGCACAGCCTTAAGTTAATTATAAAAGAAATCTGAAGTCCACGTGTACCGTGTTTTTTTGTGACATAAATAAAGGAGTGTTAACGCAAAATTAATAATAAATAAAGAAGTGTACTTTGTGCAGGGAGAAGAGTACGGTCTTGTAATAATATAAATTATATGAATGCCACCTTTTATGAATTTATGTTTCTGTTTTGATGTTTCATTGTGGTTCGGTGAAATGGTAATTTGGTGTAATATGAACTGCTTGGCAACTTTTTATCTTTACATTAACATAATTAAGGAATGATATTAAGTAGAGTAAAAGGCGCACCAAATTCATTTATGTGTTAACGAAATGATATTTTGCATGAGAAATTATTCAATTAGTAAATATTATCACATTTTACAACTAGGAGAATAACTTGTTTTATAAATAAACAAATAGACTTCACTATAAAAAGAAAAATACGCGATATTTATCAACCTCAATTCGTGATCTTATACATATATTTAGTTTTTTAGACGGTCGAACTGCAAGATGATTATTCTGTTAGAACTTGAACTTGAATTGCATGGCCTGGACTAGTTGGATAATATCCCTAAATTTATATGGGTCAATTAGCTCAAGATACTATTGAATAATGATGGTTCTTAGTATAATATAATGAGTTTAAATTTTATATGTACTCATACAATTGAAATGCTAGTTGACCAAAATTCGATGCGCTTTCATTTGTTTTGGTTAAGTTCTTCATGATGTCATACTTTAAAGTAGATTTTTCATAATTTTTTTCCCGAACATTTTGAAACTTTCACATTCAAGTTTATCGATGGAGCTTTAATACTAGTATTCGATCCTGATAACACGCACAAAGGAAACAAAAATTTATATATTGTATGTACGTATATAACATTTAAAACTTTAAATTAAAAAAAAAAAAGTGTATATTGCATTTTAAAATTTTGACTATATGTAAATGTATAATAGGAATGTAAATTTTTTAACTTACATATAAATTATTATTATTTTTTTTTTGTTATTGTATGACTATAATACAAAATAGGAATATTAGTTGTAACACAATTTAATATTGCATATTTAAAAAATTTAAAATCTTGTAAAACCGTTACAAAATAAAAAATTAATAATAAGGCTTTACTTCTGTGTCGATTTTTATTGAATGAAGTTCTATATTTATTGATTGCTGACTGAATAAAATTTATTGAAACTTGCCAGCAATTTATATATATATAGATTCTTATACAACAAAAAAAATTAGAAAAACGTTGCAATTAAAATTAAGATATAGTTTTTAATTTATTTTTTTTTTGTGTCTTATCCAAAAAAAAATAGTTAAATGAAAAATATTGATTTGGAAAAATCTTAGATATATTTAAACTATAAATGAATATAAAATAACAATATAATAATTTAAATTGATGTGTAATAAAATATAAAATTAATACCAAGAAATATGTGAATATATAAAAAGTATTCACTGGAAAATTTATAATAATTGTTACTATTTATTTTAGAATTATGTTAGTTGATGATTGTATTGAAAAAGTAAGATATAATAAATAATACACTTTCTTATAATAAAATATATCTTAAATAAATAGAAATAATATGGTGATATGTATATGCATAAGTGTAGAATATGTTTATTTAGTATTAAGCAAAATAGATTAATTTTTTTACTTAATTAGATGTCTAATACATCAAGTGTCGTATCAGTCGTGTTTCATAGTTTTTTACTTTATATGTAATTCTAGAATTTAGATAAATAATAATTTATTTTATTAAATTGACCACATACCAATTATATTTGAAATAAATATCATTTTTAAAAGAATACATACTAATTTCAAATACTTTATAATATAATTATAATTTTATTTAATATAATTTAATTTAGTTTGATAAATAAATTTAAATTTTATTTATAAGGATATAAGTGTGATAAAAAATATTAATTGGCCACCAAAAATTTTAATAAAAACTTTAAAAAAAATTATGAGTACTATAAAATGTCAAATTTTGGCCTAGGTTATAATAAGCTTTAACTTATAAACCATTAGTTCACTAATTCTTTTATTTTGTGGAATTTGAGAACAGCTTTGATGGGCAAGTGTGGAGGAAATTGAGCACTTTTTGCGACACAAATTTGAAGATTTACGCACGGGCGGAACTAAAATAGTAAATAAATGGAGATTGATAAAAAAAATACTAATTTATATCTAAGACTAATTCTAAAGAATGATTTTTGTCAAATAAGAATCCAAGATTAATTCTAAAGAATAATTTTTTGTCAATAAGATTCCGAAGCATGAGAGTTTGCCACGTAGGCTCAACGCATTCTGAAATTATATATAGAGGGAATTATTTTAATTTTTCTTATAATTTATTCTATATTATTATTTTATTTATATTATTCTCCCAGTTTATTTTTATATTTGATTTTTTTCCATTCAAAATTAGTATTGGACCTTTTGACTATTTTCGTTTTTCTCCCCTCACTTTCACAGCTAAACACTGAAAAAGCTCGAGCGAACATGCGCGCGGCTACTAACCCTTCCTTCCTTATCCACCACCACACCTCCATCGCCTTCGCCGTTCTCCGCTCGATTCGCCACCGTATTCCGCTGTTCCCTCCGTCCGTCGTCAAAATCCGAGCTCAGTCCACGTCCACGTCACACGCCGAGCTCGATAATACCAGAACCGGCCGATCTGGCTCGCTCGCTTCCCCTCCGGCGAATATCGATGCTACGCAGAAGATAGAAGTTAATCCGCCCAAGGGAACCAGGGATTTCCCTCCTGAAGAAATGCGGCTGAGGAATTGGCTGTTTCAGAATTTTAGAGAGGTAAGTATTTGGAAATTACTTGTGGTGTTTGGTACCTGATAGCCATTTGTGGATGTGAGAAGTCTTTCGTAGGTGTCCCAGCTTTGCTGATAGTCCCTCTTAAATTGTACTGTACAATGAATCGATTGTTTAGTTAGTGCCTGCGAGGTGAAGAAAATTGTTAATGTTTACAAGTGTTAATGGTGTAATTGAATTGTTCTGGCATTTAAGGTATGCATACAAATGCATTAAGAAAATGTATGTGTTATTCTGTTACCTTTTTGTCAGTGTAAGTGGTGTTATGGTTTGCATTAGTTGAAGCGATGAATGTCTTTGTTCTCTGTAACTACCTGTTACAAAAGGTTAATTACTTTGAAAAAATGGAGAAACTAGTTATGTTTTGTAGGAAGAAAGCAGCCATAGAGTGCACTGTTGAGATGTATTGGTTGTCTTAGGTTTCACAATCATTCGGCTTCGAAGAGGTTGATTTTCCAGTACTGGAGTCAGAGGCGCTGTTTATTAGGAAAGCTGGGGAGGAGATCAGAGACCAGGTTTCTTTCTTATTTTTTTTTCCTGGCCTGGTTCTCATTTCAGCATAAAATGATAAATTTCTCTCTATTATTTTATACATTTGCTGATGATATTCACCATGCCTTGGTTTATGAGATCTTTTGTGATTTACTATTTTAATGAACGCGTCTGGTATCTATGTTATGTGGGATTCTGTTCATTTGTAATCGAAATTTGCATATTACACGGTGACGAATATTTGGAGGACTTGCATTTACTGAAAACCAGTATAATCTGAAAAGAACATGCATTGTATACAAGCGTGTCTTTATCAAGCTACTAACTATTTTCATTTTTCTCTTCCATGGATTAAGCTTTATTGTTTTGAGGATCGTGGAAACCGTAGAGTTGCACTAAGGCCAGAACTCACTCCTTCTCTAGCAAGGCTAGTAATACAAAAAGGGTAAATTCTTATCTCATACTATAAAAATTCGTCTATGTTTAATCATTTATGTTTGTTACATTTCATCAGCCTGTCAAAATGTACACAAAAATATTTATATGTTATCTATTTATTCTTTCTTCCAGGTACGGATGCTAGATTTTGATCACCATGTTTTTTTCTGTCCAGAAAATCTGTTTCCCTTCCGCTAAAATGGTTTGCCATTGGACAGTGCTGGCGGTATGAGCGAATGACCCGGGGACGCCGTCGGGAGCATTATCAATGGAACATGGATATTATTGGTGTCCCTAATGTTGCAGTATGTTGGCAACTTAGTTTGTCATTCATTACATGTCATGCTAACACCACTTCTGTTTTAAGTGTATCAACACATTTACTTTATTCACAGTTTGAAATATCTTAGTGGGAAATTTTATTTTGTCACTCTCAACGCACACATGATATCGTGACTGCTTACTATAAATAAAATTGAGCAACTCTATGTCTTAGTTTTTAAAAGAATGAATTCATAAATAAATATATGTGTTGACTCTAGAGTCTTGGAAACAACGTTCCTAATGATTCATTTACTGCAGGCTGAGGCAGAGCTGATTTCTTCTATTGTCACCTTTTTCAAGCGCATTGGAATCACAGCATCAGATGTTGGGTTTAAAGTTTCTAGCAGAAAGGTATATTTACCTTTTCTTTTCCTCCAAACATTATTCAAATGGTGGAGCTCACAAGTTACATGATTCTGCGTTGGTGTCGAAGCGTCTTGTTTTTAACAGAGTGCAGTATATTAAGCATTTAAGGAACACTGATATGCTTCCCATGTACTGTGTACAGGTTTTGCAAGAAGTTCTAAGGCGTTACTCCGTACCAGAAAAGTTATTTGGCAGGGTTTGTGTAATAATAGATAAGGTTAGTGACAATGAGCATGAGGTGTCTGTGATCTCAATTCATTTTCTGCTCCCGATTTCTGCTACATCTGTGCTTCTTTTCATCTTCCTTCCTTTCTTATGTCTGGTGTGTGTGTGTGTGCTTGATCAAATTCAACTTCAAGTATTAGGAAGGAAAAGAAGAGCATATAGCATTCTACGTGATTTTAATCAAAAACTTATTTATGTCTACATGATGGGCTGACGAGCATACCCTCTGCAAGGAAAATGATCACTGCATCTTTAACAGACCCTTTGATTTTGCGGACAGTCATTACATGACCATATGGCTCGGAATATCAAATCAGTAATTTTTGTTTGCAATCTATGGTTTTTAAGCTGTGTGTTTAAGTCAGGTTGATGTAACAGCATGATGTGTGTTAATTATAATTACAGAACTGTAGACAAAATGAAGTAACCCAGGCTTTTTCTACTGCTCCCCCCTCCCTCCGTTATCTCTGTCCATTGTCTTCTTGTTCCTTATTTACGTTTTCTTGAATTCTAAACAGTTGGAAAAGATTCCCATAGATGATATCAAGAAAGAGCTGAGGTCTGCAGAGTTATCAGAAGAGGCTGTTGAAGAGCTATTGGAAATCCTTACTATGAAATCTTTGACAAAATTGGAAGGTTAGTGCAGCCAAAATTCCTGACCCTTATGAGTCATGATGACTGTAATTGTATAATGATTTGATATTGTCAGCTGGAAGTGCATCTGTGAAGGGCAATGCAAGATTGACAATTTTGAATTAATGGATTTTTTATATCTCAGAAATAGTCATGCCTTGTAGTTGACGTGACTGAAGTAGTACTGAGCTGGTGACTATGCACTTTTCTCAAGTTAAATTTGATACCCGAGCTAATCTTCTTGAAACAATTTGAAATGAAAAATCTCTAATTGGATAGTTACAGTAGCTCTTTCCATTTTAGACAGACTAAGTTACATATTACTCTTCTAATTGGTTGGATAAAATGGTGTCAGTGGTTGATTTCAGGATATATCAGAAAGTGGTCTTTAATCAAGTGAAATTGTTCTCTTTGTTCATTTCAGATATCTCACAGGCTTACATTTTTTTTCCTTTCACCTGGTTTTGTTGAATTGCTTACTTCATGGTTCTGGTGATTGTCTTTTTTAATAAGACCTTTAGTTCTTTTTGGAGGAATAATTGTAACTTTCACGTCATCTTTGTTTTCTTATGAGTCATTTCAGAGAAACTTGGCGCTTCAGTGGAAGTCCTTGCTGATTTGAAGCAGCTATTCTCACTTGCTGAAAAGTACGGTTACTCTGAGTGGATCCAGTTTGATGCGTCCATTGTACGTGGCTTAGCCTACTACACTGGAATCGTTTTTGAGGTAATATTGAATCTCTAGAAAATTATTAAAAACTATCTTGGTTTGTGTTCATGGTGGTGTTAGTTTGTAGGCATAACCCTGAAGTTTCAACCTTACAGTAGAACTCAATCATCTTTCAAACTTACGAATGCCCAACGATGATAAGCATTTTGTCAAAACTATCCATCTTCAATTTGTAAATTAGAAGTAAATATCAAGAGGATGTTTATAATAATTCACATTAGTATTGAAATTTCTGAAAGTACCCGAGACTGGTTCAATGTTATAATTAAGGGCCTAGCCATAATGTTTCTAAATGTGGAGGACATTTATTATTATTATTATTATTTATTATTATTATTATTATTCATTTATTTTGGATATAAAAGTGTGTAAATTTCATTGGTTTTAGGGATTTGATCGAGAAGGAAAGCTGAGAGCAATTTGTGGCGGAGGTCGATATGACAGATTACTCTCGACTTTTGGTGGCGATGATCTCCCAGCTTGTGGGTTTGGATTTGGTGATGCAGTTATTGTAGAAGTCAGTACAATTTAGTCATATTTTTATTATTTCACCTTATGCTTTGTTATATATATATATACAATTCATTGACTTTCTCATCTTCTGTGGATTATAAAGCTGCTAAAGGAGAAGGGACTTTTGCCAGAATTAAGCCCTCAGGTAAGGAACATCGTCTGCTCATTGGATCAAGATTTACAGGGTTCGGCTTCTTTAGTTGCTGCAAGACTGAGGGAAAAGGGCCAAAGCGTTGACTTGGTTTTGGAGAATAAACCGCTTAAATGGTAAGAGAGCTTTCATGATAGAAGTTTCTGAATTAACAAAAGAAAAGGTCATGAAGCCTGCACAAAACTCCAGTATTCATTAGGAACTACAGTTACACTCTTCACATGCGTTCTCATTTCCTAATCTGGACTGGGTATAAACATGAAAGACATCAAAGGGAGGATCTGTAAAACAGTAGCCTTTATTTGTGATTTTCAAGAGATAACTCAAATTTTACTCTCCCTCGTGAAAATTATCAATACTTGTGAACCCTTGTCCACAGTAAAGAAGTGTTTTTTCCGTAACTTTTATTTTGTAAACTCTTGTATAGATGGTTCGTATGATCTTAGTATTTATTATGTTCTTACACTTCTTTCTTATTACAGGGTATTTAAACGGGCAGCAAGAATAAATGCCGAGAGGCTGATAATAGTGGGAAATGAAGAGTGGCAAAAGGGTATGATCGGCGTCAAAATTCTTTCATCTGGACAACAATATGAAATTAAAGTTGATGAACTTGAATAATGATACAAGGTATTTATAAATTTTCTGAAGTCTTTATGTTCTTGAGGTATTAATGGAGAAGTACTCTTTTACATGTGAGAATTTAACAAGAGCCTTTTCTTGTCTGTTTTTCTCCTATTGTTGTGCATGTGTGTGTGTGTGTATGTATTCGTTCATATAAAACTGTTGAGTTGATTGACATTGAATTTCATATTGTTTTTCCATTTGGCTGGCCAGGCCTCGAGAATAGACGTGCATTAAAAGTCGAGACATATTTGAGCATAATGATTATACGGATTTAAAATGACATGACAGGCCAAAAAGTCGAGAGAGCTACATGCTATGTGACCATTGTAAGATGGTGTTCTTAAGTAACTCTTTCGACTTGATGATGCGAAATTTTTCAATAGTCTGAGTAGAGTAGGAATCAATAATGTGACGGTGTTTCTGTTTAGGGAATTATATAGGAAGGTTTTCTTTTTCGGTTTCATTGTGTAAGGGTGTGACGTGCAAAGGCCTACCCTACCCTAGGGCTCACTTCTCACTTCACATCACATCACATCCCATCTCATCTAAATTCCAATTATTTTATTGAGCTATGAAGGGTTTGTGGTCCAGAGTTGAGAGCGGGATGGAGAAGGTTATCAATGGCCTCATCAACAAGGAGATTGAGAGGGTTGTCAAGGAGGGCCTCGTGAAGGATCTTGGTGACGGCGTGAAGGAGAGTTTCAAGGAGATTGTCATGGAGGGACTCAAGGAACGAGTCAAGGGTTTCACCTATCGTTGTGGTGAAAACATGCTCTCTGCCACCGTGTTCACCGCGGCACACTTTTATCTGGTGGAGTAGAACAGAAAGAGCTAGCCCAAAATGATGATGCGGTCCAGAAAGGCAGGTAGCTCCAAAAGCTACTCGTGCACACTTTTATCTGGTCTCTTCCTTCCTGACGCTCGAGATCTCCTTGCTGAAACACGAGTAGCTTTTGGAGCTGCCTGCCTTTCTGGACCGCATCTTCATTTTGGGCTAGCTCTTTCTGTTCCTCCACCAGATAAAAGTGTGCCGCGGTGATCACGGTGGCAGAGAGCATGATTCACCAAAGCGATAGGTGAAACCCTTGACTCGTTCCTTAAGTCCCTCCATGACACTCTCTTTGAAACTCTCATTGAGATTCTCCTTGACGCCGTCACCAAGATCCTTCATGAGGCCCTCCTTGACAATCTTCTCAATCTCCTTGTTGATGAGGCCCATGATAACCCTCTCCATCTCGCTCTCAACTCTGGACCACAAACCCTTTCATAGCTCAATAAAATAATTGGAATTTAGATGGGATGTGATGTGAAGTGAGCCCTAGGGTAGGCCTTCAGTTGAAATCCGACGTGATTGTATTTTTCGTCTACTTNTCTTCTATTTACTCAATAATTTTGTGTTTTGTGGAAGTAATTGATATTGTTCTGCAGTTTGGTGTGATGTTAATATGTTATGCTATTTTTGTGGTAGTCTGTCTTGTGATCTTTCTTTTGGTTAATTGGTAAAATGGCCTTTTCCTTATTTCATAACTTTTTTTTTTCTGTTTTTTTACGACTGAGTCAATTATACTTTTACAAACATATGCACTTACTTTCAATTTAAAATGTTATAAACTAATGTATAATATTCTAAAGTTTAAAGAAAATATGGAAGAGTTGAATCGTCTAATAATACATATCATACGAGAATTTATATTGAGTTATATAATTCAACTAGTACATGCCCGTGCGATGCACGCGGAACAATATTATAATTGTATTATAAATTAAATATATAAATAACGTTAATGATAATTTACTCATTGTTTTCACAACTGGACCGGATCGAGCATTCATATTGTATGGAGCGGGGACTGGTTTATCAACTAATTCGGTTCACTCGAATAAAATGTTTGCTAGAGAACTGGTCAACATCAGTTGGTCAGATTGGTAGTATCACTACGATTTAAACAAATTTTGTTACATTTAAAACTATTTTTAATAATATAAATAAAAATACATATTTAAATAAAATAGATATTTATAAATTATTTATCATTTAGTTTAAACACTGAATATTTTTAAATTGTTCGTATATTTAATTAATATATTAAAATATTAATATTTAAATTCTGATGCAACCAATAAATCATTATATAAATAACTTGATCGATTTGAAAACGGTCCTCTACTAAGAACTTTTGATTTCCCGTACATTAATAAAGTTGTAATGCAATACCATTTATTTCACATAAATATAAATAAAATAATATATAAGTGTCCATAAATCCTTGAACATGTTGTCATAAAAGCATTCTTAATATGATTATTTGGAGTTTGAACAACATTACATTTATTATAATAAAGTATTTTAATATTAAAAATTATATTTAGTTCAATAATCAATTTGGTCTAATCAAACTGAACCATAACTTGGTCACTCGAGATCAACCTCAGTTGTCATATTGACCCATAACTCGGTCACCCGGATCAACCTCAGTTGTCATGTTTTTGGACTATTTTAAATATCAACTAATACTGAATATTTACCTAATTCAATCACTCGATTGGTCAAATAAAATTTTCTTATTTTCCTTAAATATATGCAATTTTATGAAATAAAAAATATTTTATGATTAATGTAGTAAATGCTTATAACAAATGACAATATATTAAGATTATAAATTATATATCTAAATGTAATTTATTTATTTCTTACTTTATGCATATTTAACAAAATAATAAATATATTTTAAAAGTTTAAAATAAATCGATTGGTTTTGCAACTATCGCGATAACTCAATACCAACATGAGTTATTACATAGCAGAGATATTTTTCATATCAATTATTATGTTTTTAAACATAATAATTTTTCGCTTATATATTATATATAAGTACTTATTGTAAAACGTACTATATTAATAAAATAATTATAAAAAATTAACATTTACCATTACTTAATTCTTAATTAATTTATTTTCTACTGTTAATTTATGTTTTTAATGAGAAATAATTAACACAAACTTTTTAAACATCATGATGATTTTATATGTAATTAAAACACTCAAATAATTGATTTAGGATATTAATATAAATGACTATTTTTATATTTTGAGATTTATTGTGTAAAACGTAATACAAAAATTGTTATGGTCCATTTCTAAATATATTTGCATTTGTAAACAAACTTATTGATACATAATTGTTTTCAAATAATATGAGACATAAATTGTTCAAAAAAAAAAAGGTTGAAAATATTTTAGCCTACACTTTTGAAAATTAAAGTGCACAGATTAAATAAATACGAATTTTTAGTTGTGACTATAAAATATGAGATTTTGTAGATAGATAAATATGAATAAAAAAATATTTAATAACTAAGATAGCATGGTTTTTCGAAAAGCTTTCAAAAAATTTCAAATGTTTTATTCGTTAAATGATTGACCGGATTTTTGTAACCAAATTTACTCGTTTTACTGAAAAATTTAAGGAAATGATTGGCCGGATTTTTTGGGAGCAAGATTTTCAAGATTTTATTTTTCATTATTGGCCAGATTTATCCATATCATATAAAGAAATCATTTCCCGTATTGTTAAGAACTAAGATTTACACAATATTTTACTTAAATAACATTTTTTTTAAGAAAAAAAAAGTTGAATTAGAATTTTTATTCAACAACCATTTTTCAGAAAATAAAAAATACACTAAGAATATTAACCTTGAAAATTTTAAACCGAAATTTTAATACTATTTCAAATAAATATCTACCTCTCTTATATAGTAATAGATAATAATAGATTAAGCAAATCATTTCAATCATTGGCCAAATTTTTTGGAATCAAATTTTACACGATGGGTTTTGAGAAGTATAAATAAATGAATGACCAATATTTTGTTCACAAAATTTAGATGATTCTTACTTAAATTGCTGGATCTTGGTAACCAAATTACACGCTTAACCAGAAATAGTAAGGAAATCTATATGTGATTTATTTTGAGTATTATTTACACATGCTTTGCAAGAAATTAAGGAAATGATTTATAGTTTATTTGGAATAGTCATATGGATATGTACTAAATATACGTAAATATGCCTAATATATAGGGTTTTGGCTCTAACTTATATACGACATGTGGTTGTTTGATTTTGAAATTTATCTTGTCTTGCGGTAGAAATTGGATGAAATTGAATCCATGAAAGGTTGGATTTTTTTTCTTTCTTTCTTTTTTTTTTGTTAGTTCAAAATTATGAAAATGAAATCAAGAATTCTTCAAATTATTTGAATTTACATGTACTCAAGAAATATTATCGACAAATCTGCTGAATTTTAAATAAAAAATAATTCGCAATTTAAGGAAACAAAAACTCTGTCATTGTCATCCATACGTGAAGGAAGGAAATAAAGTAACATTTTTTATTCAAAAGATATGGAAAGATTTTGTTAAGATATTATTGCTAAAATTGTTAACGATAAAGAATGATTGATTTTGATAAGATCTTAAATTGATTTTGATAAGGCTTTAATACCCACGCCTGTTTAGAATTTTTTGTTGATGATAAATATGGATTGGATAAATGTCATTTATCTTCACGTAAATTATGAAATCACAAATTCAAATTGAACGGATTTTAAATATGGTATCACAATTTCAAATTGATTGGTTTTTATAATATTGCTATAATTAGTATGTCAACATGGTTGACTCATTATTTTTTAAAAGTTTCCACAAATGATTTATTGACCTCTCTTTTTCAATATATATAGATTTTGTGAGTGATCATTTAAAACAACTACGGAACAAAAATTCCGTTTTGTACTATTTGAGCCAAAGATAAATCATATTATCAAAAATTTTATACCCTTTTAAATGTTTATAATAAACATAGAATATGTATATGTGGATTTATTCATTTATATATAAAAAAAAGTAGAAGAGTATATTACGCAAAAACAAAAAAAAACAAAAAACACACACACACACAAATGCCAATAATTATATGCATAGATGGTATTTTTTGTTGATTTTGTTAATTTTTATTTACATCACCAAGTTTGTGCAATTATTATTGATTCAATAAATTCTTACTCATAGTATGTATAAGTATACAATAAATATTTTTATAATCGGTTCAAAATAAAACTACAAAACAATAAAATTTCAAGAACTCAAAAACAAATATCATGAACACAATATTTTACTTTATTTAATAGTATTATTGATTTTTTTTTAAAAATTCTATTTGTAACTCATCAAATGATTATACTGCATCCAAATAAATTTCCAAGATTATCCCCATATATATATTTTTTTCAATTAATGGAAGGGTAGGCGTCAGTGATCTTTCCAAGTAGAAGGGAAACTCAAAATTTTGTCGTAACGTGTGTCGAAATAATTACCCAGATGTTGCATCGTCATGTTAGAAAGACCATGTGAAAGTAGAAATTGAGATTGACAATGTTAACATTAATTTTTTATACACTAGTACGTAGCCCGTGCGATGCACGGGACAGATATATTAATTGCATCATTACCATATGGTATGTGTCTTAGGCCTGAAAAAAAAAATAAAAAAAATTTGATCATCTATTTTCCACCTCTTTTAATAAGAGTTGTGTTTTTAGCCAGAGCATTAAATTTGAGACGGTTAGCGCTAGCATGTAAATTAATTAATATATTATCCTGCTAACACGTTTATACTAATTTGAATTTGATTATACTATATTTATTTATTCTTTGAAAAAATAACAATTTTACTTATTCTTGTTCACCACATAATATTTAGTTATTATTTTATTATAAAAATTTTTGTCATATAATGTCATTATTATTATTTATAAATCATATAGAAATAGTATTCTTCTTAAATTTATTTTATTTAATATTTGATGTACGTTAATGTTATTTATTAATGTAATTAATATATAATATGTAAATAAATTGTAAATAGAAAAACCTTTTACATGAGGTCACACAATTAGCAAAAACCTTTTCTTATTAACAAAAAATGCTCGACAAATGATCCGAAACAACACAAAATTCAGGAAGAATTACAAAAACTGCCGATAGAAAGAAAATCGCATATTCTTGTGTAGAACAATCTAACGGTTAGATGTGGTTAGAGGGGTTGGGGCAATCATACTTTCTTAATGTAAATTAAAAAGAAAATCATACTCTTTCGGCCAAAATGTGACTATTGATGGCCTGACTGCGACGGACCCGAACGTGGATGTAATCGAGCTTTGGGATTTCGAATGTTTGCGAATCCTCTTTTGCCTTTGTAGAGGGCATTTTTGAGTTCTTTTTGTTTGTAACAATTGTGAGCTTTTGTTGCTGTAATTTTGCTTTGTGATTTTAGAAACCTCTTATTTATTATATACTTTCATCCTTTTGTCCCTCAATGAGGATTTTTCTGTCCCATTAACTTGAAAAAACCTCCTAAATTACACTCTTTTTTCCAACTATTTTTTTTTTTTTTAAAAAATAACTCAAAGACCAACAAAATCCTCAAATTCAACTAACCACAAAACAGAAATAACCAAAATATTTCGAATTTCCAGCACATTTGGGAATTGAGATAATTATAAGAGTACAATTTTTAATCTAAGCACAAATTCACACCTTTTTTCCCATAAAAAAAATCACCAACCAACAACAGAATCTCCAAATTCAACTAGGCACGAAACATAACACACCAAAAGAATTCCGAATTTCCAGCACATTGCAAAACATTAAAGGGTGAATATCTGCTTCAAAAAAAATGTTTCAGTCTTACCCGATGTCGAGCCACACGGTCTTAGTAATCAGGCACACCATTCATTGACCATTCAATTGTCAGCTAGACAAATCCTAGACGACAAAGATTACAGACTATCATTTCTGAATTCAATATAATAAAGAAAGGTAGAAGACGGAAGATAAAAACAGACAATTCAATCCATTTCTTGTATTCTCATTTATTCCGAAAAATCCAAAAGAACTGATGTATAATGATCTGTTGATAATCCACAAATACCGATGGACTGTGAACTATACTCCTTTTCAAAGTATTCCCGTTTGAGAAAGTATTTGTACCTTTATCAATAACGATGGAGCTTCTGAAATTACACTGCCTTCTTTTTAAGCCAGTCGACAAAATTATCGAGAAGTAAAGGCCAAGCTTCGCATGTATCATAATTTCGAAGATCCGGAAAGCTTGTATGCCAATAGTAACATGACACATATTTTAAAAAAAAAAGTGATAGTAAAATGGGAATTAAGAGTAATGAAAAAACCTCTTCACAAAACCGTAGAAAACTCTTCCACTGATCCATATTCATCACCTTGTAGTCACTCTGGATCTGATACCCAAATTTTCAATAAAACAAAAAAAGCAAAAAAAAAAAAGAAAAAAGAAAAAAGGAATGTCAAGAAAGAGAGACATTCACAGTTATTCACAGTTATCCGAGGTTAGATGACTTCAAATACGCTGATTTGAATCATTTGATATAATTTTGATTGCGTACCTTAAGAAATTGGACGAATGAATCAACTTGTGCCGGATATTGAAACCCTATTACCAGATCAATCAATATGTAGGTGCTCTCAATATCTAAACATTTCTGTTTTTCCTCTGAAATTTTTGAATAAACCAGCCGAATAAGAAAATAATCGAAGCACACACATTTACTCAGCAATGCAGGTTTACAATATGTACAGGCATACCTGTTAAACAGTAGCGAAAGGCAAACAAATAGATTGTAATTATCCTAACAAATCAATTGGAATAATTACCACTTCATCATGAAACAACGAACAGACAGAGGCATTGACATATAAAAAAAGTTTGTCTCGTTTCCATTTGAGCAGATCAGAGCTGATGACAAGAGAGAGACCCGTAAATTAGGGTGCCCGGGGCATGCGCTCTAACTTTGATAGTTACACGAAAAAGGGTAAAGCCCGACTCAACTATGTGAAAAGCGGTTGGATGCTCATGAGTTTCCATCAGTAGGACTACTCTCAACTTCAAAAAAGGTTTGTTGGATCTGTTGACAGCGTCGATTGTATAAAGAAGGGTGCCATAACATTTTCTGTGTTTTTTGTATTTTGAGGTCGTCCGCGTTTTGATGAGATGAATGAAAAAGGGTATCAATGAATACCCTTTTATACACGGTGTATATGTCTAAATGTTTATCTCATTCGATTTTTTGGAATGAATTTATTAGGATAATTACTAAACACGTGATAATTAAATAACTTTTCACCAATCTGTACCAAACTAAATGCCGTGAAAATTGAAAATAAGTTAGGTATGATTTAAAACAAAAAGAAAATCAAGAGAATTGTTAGGATAGTTACTAAACACGTGATATTTAAATGACTTTACACCAAACTAAATGCCGTTAAAATTGGAAATAAATTAGGTACGATTTAAAACAAAAAGAAAATCAAGAGAAAGTTTATTATTTTTCAGATTTTTAAAAGATTTTCCACAAATGGGAAGTCAAAGCCTTTTTTGACTAATTTTCTTAAAGTTTCCCTAAATGATTTTTTTACCATCCTCTTTCAATATATATAGATAAGCATGAAAGAGAACACAGTCTAATGCATTGGAGGATAAATTATTCTCACTTTTTCTTTTTATCTAAATGAGATGGATAACTTTTTACTTTTTGAAAAGAATGCATTAGAGATGTTCTCACAATCACGATTCAGTGATTCACGACTTCAGAAATCAAGAACCTAGCCCACTTCACGGTTAGAGAGTAGCAATCTTTATATTTATAGTCTCTCTTTCTACTCTCAAATTAGATGCCTTACTAGTTACTACACAAGTACAATTAAGGTTGAGCAAAATCGAATCGAAACCAAAAAATCAAACAAAACCTATGTATTTGTTGCGAATCAATTCAATTTGATGTGCGATTAAAATTTTGAAAAACTACAAAAAAGTTGTTGCAGTTCGATTTTGTGTTCCAAGCCAAACCGCACCAAACAACTTAAGCAAGTGTCATTTTATTAGAGGTATCAGATATACAATTACACCACACCTGACACCTCACCATGCTTTCTATATTTTAATTTTTTACATTATATCTAAAAAAATCTATGCCCTAGTTAAATTCAGACTCGTCCCCCTCAGTCTCAGACCTCACCTTTCACTCTCGTCTCGTCTCGTCTCGTCTCTTGCCCGTCCTCCCGTCGCCGGCTGTTCTTTGCCTCTCCAATCTCCGGCATATGACGCTCTCTCGTTGTTCAACCGGCCTATGTAAGCTGACTCTCTCACTCTCTCACTCTCTCACTCTATCCCTTACCCTTACTACCTCTCGATTTGTTCTTCTTGTTTTATCATTTCACATAGATTCCGTTTTTAATTGCGTTTTTGGCTTCTGAGATATGTAAGTAAGAATTGATGGAACTGGCGAGTAGTTAATCTGCGATTTTTGTTCTTAGATCTGTGTTAAAAGGACAAGCACAAGAGGTGGTATTGGGAAGATCTTTACTAATTGTTCAGGTTCAAGCGATTTTCTCTGAATATTTTTCAGGTTCTATTCAGGGCAGTCATTAAGGGAAGCTTCTCGAGTAAACTGTATAATGTAGCACAATGTTTGTGTAAATTTGACATTGAAACTCTTCTACTGACTATAGTGATTCAGGGTGTTCCCAATTTTAATACATTTACAGATTTACTTATTATTGATTATTTGTTTTTTGCCCCAATTTCAGCCCCAATATCCATATATTTTTTTTTGTTTTATTTGCTGTTAACCGCACCAAACTAAAAATTTCGGTGCGGTTCGGTTTGGACATTTTATCATTTTTGGTTTTTTGCAGTTCGGTGCAGTTTTGCAGTTCGGTTCAGTTTTAACATTTTTGGTTTTAACATTTTAACATTTTTGGTTTTTAACATTTTAACATTTCAGCGAATTTAATTGGGTCCGTTAAATTATTGGATTCTCTCGTTCATGGATGTTTTTAGAATAATGAAGTTTTATTATTGGATTCTCTTGTATTGAGATAAATATATATTATATGTATAGTACCAGGGAAGGACGTAAAAACTTCTCTTATTTTGTTTGTTAAAATAGCATACGAATAGATTAGTTTCTGTAATTGCTGTGTTTATTTATTTTGAAATAAGATCATATATATATAATTTCGGCTTGGTTCGGTTCGGCTTTTTAGTAGGTCCAGTGGCTCAATGAAGAATTCAATTGCGAACATATCCTAAAAGTTGCAGCTTTAGTAAGCCCAATCTCAAGCCCTGTTTAGAAAAAGGCCTGAAAATAGGAGAGAAGAAATCTTCACTGAGCTCCAAAACTCCTCCGCAGCTCTTCACCGCCGGCGAGCCGTCCTCCACAGGTTATTTTCCGACAGCTAGTTTTGTGAGTGATATTCTATTTGATAACAACAATAGTTGTTAATTCATGCTTTTGTTCTCTAATTAAGCAGAAAGTAATTCGCATTCCTTAATTTTTTGGGGATAGTTAGTGATTTTAGCACCGACTGTTTTTAGCCATTTTCCTTCTTTTCTGTTTTCGCTGCGTTGCTTCATATGTGTAAGTACTGGTGATTTTAAGTTTTCTCAATGTGTAATCACCTTTAGTATGGGGTAGTAGCTGCTTCATGATCTCATAGAACCATATGTAAGTTTTCAACATTAATATGCATTCTGTTGTTGTTCAATTATGTATGTTGTTAAGCAAGCGTAACGGTTATGCAATCATACTTTTTCAATCGATATCCATACTTTCAAATTGAAACGTCATACTCTAGAAAACAACATAAATAATTAATTTCTTATGATAAGTATTTTTTTATTTTAAAAAAAATGACGGGTGGACTTGCCTAATGGTTAGGCTGCTTCACACAAGAATTGGTGATTATGCATGCATTTATGTTGGTTTGTTGTTCGAGATTTTCAAGGAATCTGGAAATTATAGAAATATGAGAAGTTGTATAAAGCAGAATTTAGCATTTGCACTAGAATTTTATTCAAAGCACGTTTGGTACTTGAATGAGGGAATTTTGATCAATATAATACAAGTAGAGGCATTGGTGTCTTAGGGAGTATTTACTTAAAGGTTTTCTGGCTTCCGGGTTTAGCTTTAGTGTTTAGGGCTTACTGGAAGTTTTTGTAACTGCAATTGTATTTATTTATTTTTCAATTTTAAGTTGTACTTATGATGTGTGCTTCGTTAAAGTTGAATATTAACTATCTGTGATCACTTCTTCTTCACACTATGAAATTTCATGTGTATAGGGATAATGCCGCACAAAACTCGACCTATGACTGCGCTTTTGCTCTTCACTGGAGTGAATGTTGTTCTGGTGTCAACAATTGGCCCTGTCTATGATTTTGTTTGCTTCCTTCCGTACTGGGAAAGGAGGGTATGTTTCTCACAGTTGTTATGTTTTCTCTGTTGCTGTAAATTCTTGAAAAAGGGTAATTAATAATCATTTCATTTGGAGTAAATTTGTATAAATATTGAACTCCTTTCATTTTTGCACTGATTCTTATCTTTGGCTATAATCTACCTTCTGCTCTGCTAGTCCACAGTACGTTTTTATAATTATTTTTCTGGCATTTCTGTATATAACTAAAATAATTGACTCATGTAAGTTTATCAGTTTGTGAGCGCTTGCTATAGTGAACATCTTCTTCTATATCAGCATAAAAGCGTGATTTGCTTTAATCGAATTTTCATATATTTTGCCGTGGCATTGCGCAATTCTTGCTTATGCAACATTAGGAAAAATCTTTGTGGTGGTTTTAATTTGTAATTCGTTTCAATGGTAAAAAATTTATTTCCGTTTTTAATGTATTTTTTTCTCTCTTTCTCTTTGTTTTCTTGTGCTGATACTGGTACACAGAGAGAACGTCGGCGCCTGGAACGTGAAGCTGCCTCTTCCAAAGGTTTAGCATAATTATAAGAGTATTAAATTAAATAAAGGGTATATTGTAACTTTTTAAAAAAATTGGGCTTTGTTCGCGATTGTTATAAGCTCATGATGCATCTGATGATGTAGGGATACTTGTAAATGTTTTTGTGTTAAATGTCTTCGGAGTACACAGGAATGTTTTCGGAGCACACAGGAATGCAAATTATTATAGCCTTTTATTAAAGATGGTTGATTGTATCCCGTGAAATCTGTTAGCTACTGTGTTTGTGAAGGTGAAAACTTTGGGTTCTGATCCATATATGATTATGAAAGCCTTTATTTTTATGGTGCTGTGGAGATTTTTTTTTTTAAAATGTCTTTTTAAGTAGCTTCACCATTGAAACCATATATTGTGTAGGGCTCGACTGCTCACGAACTGCAAAGATGAATATTCAGTTCTTGTAGTACTATCTGTTTTAGTTGCACTTCTTTGGATTTTTATGTGATATCTCATTTTTGTCATTGAACTTCGACTTGTGTATTTGTCTCCTCTTCATTTGATGCCTTCCCCTAAGTCGGGTCACTATCGTCAAAGGTCTTAGTTTATATCATAGGCGGGTTTGGTTGGCTTGGGATTTGCATTATGCAACAATAAAGTGACCGTTGGCCTTATTTGTGTGTAAGATTTGTTAGCATATTATGTCCAAAAGGTTTTGTTTGAAATTAGTTTGGGTTGTGGAGAAAACAGGACTTTAAAGTAAATCGATGATATAAGTAAATCGAGTGATTTAAGATTGCAACTTTCACAAATTTTGAATTGGGTCACCTTGCTTGGGCATCGATGATATAAGTAAATCGAGTGATTTAAGATTGCCAACAGAATAACAAATGTGATTCTATTTTGCCTTGTCCTAATCTACACAGGGCATGTTTGTTAGGGGAGATTAGATAGGATTTGGCTGCATATCCAACCTTAATCGTTTGTTTGCGACCCAAGACTCGAACAATAAAAATGTATGAATTATAAGAGAATTACTGGCTGATTTTCTCGTGACGGAGAGGCTGCGTACAGTTATCCATCTGGTGGGGTTGTAGACTTCGGCTTTTTTCTTTCCATTTTATAGATTTTTTTGCAAGCAGGGCTGTAAAAAATTTGGTGGTGAGTTTAAAATGGCATATAGGTATATTTATATTTTCATAGTATTGTAACACAAATTCTCCCGTGTTCTCAATGTAGAACAATTGCTGCCTTATTTTGTTTTGCGAATTTTATCCCTCTTTGTGTTTGTTAACTTAACCTTAGGGTGGCACAAAACTTCAGATTTGATGGAAATTTTATGTATTTTATTTGTTCTTGATTGAGATTTGTTACTCGGTGTGAATGAGATCTTAAATTTGATGGTGAAATGATTAAGATTTTTTTCAGATTATTTTGATGGTGAACTGATTATGAATTTAGGTATCCTAGCCAGTAGCCACGAGTGAATTGGGTAAAATTTAAGGCACAAATTGATAATTCGTAATTTTTATCCCATATCTTATTTAGGAACCAAATGTGGAACACAAAAAAGTTGAGAAAATTGTATCTTGAGCCATCTTTCCTAACAAACGTAGATGTTATATAGTCTCAACTGTGCGATTTTGAACCACAATATAAAAATTGTCTAGTCTAGTTCGAGCAAACAAACGCATCCATATGGGATTTTATTGCAAAGGGATAAGATATAAATAATATGTTCGATTTCGTCTAACTGAATAGTTATTTAAGTAGAATTGTGATAAGGTATAATTTAAATAAAAAATACTTTAGACTTATTTATATATTTTTTACCTCAAACTTGTCAACACAATTACAAATATAAATCAATCATTGATGTATATTATTTAATAAAATTTATTATTTATCTATTCATATAATTTAAATCATTTTTTTATAATTATTATTTTATTATTTTTATATAATGTCAGCTTAAATTATTACATTTCCTCTCAAATTCATTTACAAACTAATAAATAAATATTTTTTTTCATTCAAATTTTTTTCCCATTTTTTCATTAGTTTACCTTGGGATTTTTTTATTTTTATTTTTTTTCAAAATATTCTATATTAATTGTCTTCCATTTTCCATATAGAGAAAATTGATTAGCTAAATATCGAGAGAACAGATTTTATTCTACTTCTTTTTTTTTCCAATTTTTTATTCTATTTCACTTCACCATATGGTGTACTTATATCACTCTTTATAATTTCCAAATGGAATTTATCCATTCCACATTTTTATGGTTACCCATCTAAACTTTTGAGAGAAACAAAAAAAATATCATAAAGAAACACACAATAAAAAAAATCACATTAACTTCTAATTCATCCATCCTTAAAAAAAAAAAAAAATAAAATAAAATAAAATAAAATGCTTCTAATTCGTCCATTCAAAATTTCATCCAAACTATTTTACTATTTTAACATTTCATTACGTTTTCAAAACTCGAAAATATTCCAAACTCATCCCTTCCCCTCCAAAGCCCTATATTATCTTCAGTTCTTCACCTTGACCCCTTTTAAGGTTTATAAACCTCTTTCAACCAAAGAACCCATTCTGCTCAACCAGAAGTAGACAACAGCTTGAAAGTTCAAAGCGAACACCAAAGCCACATTTTTTTCCCCCAAATACATATGAATGGCCCCTCTTTTCAGGCCTAGTAGCTCTCTCAAACGCATGGCCTCTCGTTTTCTCACATCCGTTCACTCTTTTCATTCTCATGGCCACTGTCATTTCGCGCCCTCCTCTACTTGTGCCGTCGCTCGACCCTCCTTCATACTTCTCAACAGCAGGTGCCCATTTTGTGTTCCTTTTAATTTGTTATTGAGTTGCGTATGTCGACTCATGTGTAGGCCCTAGGCAATGGTTTTTGTAATGGGGTTTGTTAAATGTTGCAAGGCCTTAGCTTTTTTCGTGGGTTTGTTGGAAAAAATGTTTAGAGAGTTCTCATAGGATGACTGCGTAATGGTTAAGTACTTTTGTGCTTTGAGGAGCACTATGAGGTGGGAAATTTGTGTGGGTTGGTGCTGGTTGCTACAGCCCATGTGGCACGGTGTTTTCATACAGACAAGCAATTTCATCTAGATTCTAAGTGGATTTTTTTTTTTTTTTTTTTTCCTTTTGTTATCTTTGATGTTGATATTGATAAGATGTGCTTACAGTCTTGTCTGTTCCAGAGCAAGTGATAGGTTGAGCTTGAGGAATGTTTCAACCAAGTTTATGCAATGGAATGCTGTGGTTCCCAGAGCATTTATGTCATCAACTATCAGCAGCGAGGCTGTTCGTGAAAGTAAAGTTTCGAAAGAATATGGATCAGATCAGATTCAGGTGAATTGCTGGCCTTTGATGAACAAGTAAATGTGTATTGTGTTGCCACGTAGTCATGGTTTAAAATCTCTTTCCTTGTTACTTGTTTGCAGATTTTGACAAGGTATACATTTTTTTTTTGTCCTTTTTTCTTTTTCTTTAAGGTATTGGAAGGTTTAGACCCGGTAAGAAAACGACCTGGAATGTACATAGGAAGCACTGGATCCCGTGGTCTTCATCATCTGGTGTGTTATTTTCTTTCTTTGTTTTGATTATTTAGTAGCAATTGTGAAGGTTAAGGAGAAGTGTTAAAGTTATGTTGAATTAATCTGTTGACAGGTTTATGAAATCTTGGATAATGCCATTGATGAGGCACAAGCCGGATTTGCTTCAAAAATTGATGTTATTCTACTTGCAGATAATTCAGTGAGCATAACAGACAATGGGCGTGGAGTATGTTCCTTCTCTGTGGCATCTGGAAATTATGATTACTCTGTTGTATAGATTAGATGAGGCATAATTTTTGTGTTGTGTACTTCGCGAGCATGCTACTTACTTTAATTAGTCTGTTAGTTGTGTTAGAATCATTTTCATATTCTGACATTGCTTATTCGTGCTTTGCAGATCCCAACTGATTTACATCCAACAACTAAAAAGTCTGCTTTGGAGACTGTCTTAACGGTAGGGGATTTTTTTTTTTTTGGTAATTTTAGTTGTAAGAACTTCAAATCAGGGTGTACTGCGTTAACCCCTTAGACTACTTTAAATTGTATAAGGGTTTTCCTCTGTTTAGGCTGATTTCATCATAGCCCAAAAGGCAGTTGTCTTTGATTTAATTCCTGAAAAAGATGTTGATCAAGGCCTCTACTGTCATGGAAGTTTTTGTTATTTTGTTATTGAATTGACTATCTCTAACTGTTGGCAAAGTATTGCTATATGAAGTGAAGCATTATTGCAGGTTTTGCATGCAGGTGGGAAGTTTGGTGGTTCAAGTAGCGGTTACAGTGTATCGGGTGGTCTACATGGTGTGGGTTTATCAGTAGTTAATGCGCTGTCTGAGGTATCAGTTCTTGGTCATTACAACTTCTAACTCTTTAGTCTTCTCCACTTATTTTATCACTTCTTCTTCATTACATGGTGCATTATTTTTACATGTTTGTTCTCTGACTTTCATGTATCTATCTCGTGAACTCTGCTAGTTGCTTATAGTGCATAATATTTTCGAACACATAATCTTTTACAAATGTTTGGCTCGACAACTGTATTTTTGTTGTTATCCTCAATTGGCTTTTTCATCCTTGTCTTTGCTTGTGGGCAGGACCTTGAAGTTACTGTGTGGCGCGATGGTAAGGAGTACAAGCAGAAATATTCCCGCGGAAGGCCTGTGACAAACTTAGTCTCTAACGAGCTTCCATTTGATATGAGAGACCGTCAAGGGACTCGCATACATTTTTGGCCCGACAAACAAGGTCATTTTTTTTATTTATTTGTTTATTTTCTTTATAGTAGACAATTGCTGATGGATCATGTAAAATTGTTTGAATGGTTTTCCTCTCAGAAATATTCACGACTGCTGTTGAGTATGACTACAACACAATTTCTGGAAGAATTAGGGAGCTTGCTTTCCTCAATCCTCAGGTACAGCATTAATTTCAGGTTATGTTTTTGGAAAATATATCTCATTTTTTTGTTTTCACCTTGATTAATACCCAGGGTTCTTTGTTACAAAAAAAAACGAGCCGTTTTTGTTCTATTACTAACAACAGATGAGATATTTTTCTTTACTTTTAGGTCACAATTGTACTTGAAAAGGAGGACACAGACCCAGAGAAGAGGTTGCATAATGAGTATAACTATGCTGGAGGATTAGTGGAGTATGTGAAATGGCTTAATGCCGATAAGGTATGCTTTGTGTTTGTATAGCTCATTCTTTGTAGTCCAAACAACAAACCTTGTCTAACGTTTTCATTATATTTATTATATTTTGTCATGATACTGTTTTCTTTTGCGCCCTAAGCACGATTTGAACCGTATCATTAGAGGTCTAGGCTGTTTAGCTTGCTTTTGCCACCATTTATGTATTATTAGTAAACAAAAGATTAGTTGTTTGATAGAAAAAAATATGCAGTCATGAAGTTTGTGATGACCCTTTGTTCTTCTGCTTTACGAGTCATTGTAATTATATTAGCCTTCAAAACCACATTACTATTAAGTGACTTTGCCGAGCGTATTTGGAAATATTCCCATAACTTCACACATTCTTGATCCAGAAACCTCTTCATGATGTCGTGGGTTTTAGGCAAGAAGCTGATGGAATCTCAATTGATGTAGCACTTCAGTGGTAAGAAATCTGAATTTATCATTTGCTTTTATTTTTCTTTGGTTCGTTCGCCTTTTCCTTCCGGGTTTCGATTTTAGAAAAATAAGCATTTTCTGAATTTATCATATGAATTTAATTTTGGATATTTTTTGATCTTTACACAGGTGTGCAGATGCATATTCAGATACGTTATTAGGATATGCCAACAGCATTAGAACTGTGGATGGTGGCACTCACATTGACGGGGTGAAAGCATCGTTAACTAGAACGCTCAACAACCTAGGAAAGAAGTCCAAAGTCATTAAGGTATATGCATAGAAAGTTGAATTTTTTGTTTTAATCTGTCATGTTTGTCAATATCTTCACCTTAAAAGTTGTTATTTTCCCAGGAAAAGGATATTAGCTTAAGTGGTGAGCACGTGAGAGAGGGATTGACTTGTGTCATCTCTGTCAAAGTTCCAAACCCAGAATTTGAAGGACAGACAAAGGTATACTGTATAAAGAAAAAAAAAAAAAAGAAATCTTCTAGAACTTCTGAGTTTGCATGTTGAAATTTTATTGAAATCAAAATTTCGTTCGAATCCGAAAGACACGATTAGGAAATCCTGAGGTGAGGAAAGTGGTCGATCAATCTATCCAAGAATATCTTACTGAGTACCTCGAGTTGCATCCGGATGTTCTTGATGCGATTCTTTCAAAGTCCCTCAATGCTCTCAAGGTATATTATTATACATTTGCGGGATGCATTTGAATTTTAAGCTTCTGTTATTTTAATTAGCTTCTTGGAGGATTTCGAACCAATTTTTCGAAACATCTGTTTTTGATGAATCATGATTCAAATATTTGTTTTTAGGCAGCACTAGCTGCAAAGAGGGCAAGGGAATTGGTGAGACAAAAGAGCGTTTTGAAATCATCTTCCCTTCCTGGAAAGCTTGCTGATTGTTCATCTACAAATCCTGAAGAATCTGGTATATGATTATTTATTACAATTGTTATTATTATTATTATTATTATTATTATTATTATTATTATTATTATTTAGCTTATTAGTACAGTTAACATCTATTTGTTCAATTCCAAAAAAAATTCAGAGATATTCATAGTTGAGGGTGACTCAGCTGGTGGGAGTGCCAAACAAGGCCGCGATCGCCGGTTTCAGGTGAAGATTTACGTTTCTTTTTTCGTAACTTCTAAGTTTTATATTATACATGGTGTAATATAACATAATATTAATTACACATTGAGGTTTATGAATAAAAAAATCTGGTGCCGTTATACAGGCCGTGCTTCCTTTAAGGGGTAAAATTCTCAACATTGAGAGAAAGGATGAAGCTGCTATGTACAAAAATGAAGAGATTCAAAATCTTATTCTTGGTCTTGGACTTGGAGTGAAGGTGTAGCTCTTTCCAATATTTTTTTTTTCCCAATACGATACACATATTACATATTTCTTTTTGTTTCCAATTTTGTCTTTAATTTTTCACTCTTCCATTATTGATTCCTTCGACTTTTCAGGGTGAAGATTTTAATAAAGATTCTCTACGTTATCACAAAATCATAATATTAACCGATGCTGATGTTGACGGGGCTCACATACGAACATTGTTGTTGACCTTTTTCTTTCGCTATCAGGTGAGGTCATTTATTTTAGTACAAAAAGAAGCTGTTTTCGAAGATATTATTATTATTTTTTTCCTTTTTTGTTTCTGATTTTGTTGGCTATTCGAGTTTACATTGGGAACTTACACAATTTTGCCTGCAGAGAGCTTTGTTCGACGAAGGGTGTATCTATGTTGGGGTCCCACCTCTATATAAGGTACTTGAAGATGATTTTCCAAGTTGCTTTATTTCTATTAATTTGAACTGAAAAAAAAGGGGGGCTCGATTTAATAATTACAAATCCATAATTCAGGTTGAGACGCGCAAGCGAGCATATTACTGTTACGATGACCATGATCTCAATCGCCATATACGTGAACTTTCTCCGAATTCATACACAATTCAGAGGTTTAAAGGTGGGTTTTTTTCCTTCAAAAGAAGATATTGGTGGCCAATAAATTTAGAATTACCTATATGCCCTTTGTTTGCAATGGAGAAACTGTATATGGCCTATTCTACTACTCATCTGACCGACATTTTAATTTGAAAAATAAAAAAAAAAATCAGGCTTGGGGGAGATGATGCCTGCACAGCTTTGGGAAACAACCTTGAATCCCGAGACGAGATTGCTGAAGCAATTAAAAGTCGAGGATGTTGCTGAGGCTAATGTTGTCTTTTCGTCTCTCATGGGATCTCGAGTAAGTAAAAAAAAAAA